GTTCGGTTCCTCCCCATCCAAACTTCGTATTTGGCGGCAAACCCCATCCCCGCCCCAGGGCACGGCCACCCCTCCGCACCCCTCACCCACTTGCAAAGGTCCCATCCTACAAACCGAAAAGCGTGTGCAAATAATCACCGGCGGAAAAAAACCTGCGAACGCCGCAGGAGTGCAGAGCTCACTCCTTCCCAACCGCGGTTTCAAGCTTAAAGAGCCTTTCGGCACAGGAGGAAGCGCCTCCATCGCCGGCGAGCGCCGTTCGGCATCACAGCGACTTCACCTCCGGCTCCAGCATCCCTCGCCGGGGCTCTTGGGTGGGTGGCGGGAGGGATGCGGCACCGGAGCCAGGGGGACACGTGGGGGACATTGAGCACTCACCGCCTCGCGGGCAGCGATGGGCGCGGGGACTCGACAGCAACGAAGCCGACGCTGAACCGAAGACCTACCCAATTTGCAAATCCTCGTCCTGACCCTGGGCGGTTTGGAGCCCTCCCTCGGCTCTTCCCCCCCCCGAGTGATAAACCACGGCTCGATGCTTCGAGCTGATGGTCCCAAGGTGAGAGTTGCTGGGTCCCAGCACCCAGGGCACCCACCCCGGCGTACAGGTGGGAACCGGCACCCAAACGGTACAGACCATCCATCAACCCCCATCTCCTTCCCCTAAAAACACCCAAAACGTGAAGCATCCATCAGACGTCACATCATTGACATTTTCCCAGCCTTTTGCCAGAAATCTCACTTTTTGGGAGGTTTTATTTTCTATTTCTTTTTCCTCCTGCGCCCTCAAACTCAAGACAATGAACAATGTCTGCGCGGCACTGAACACAATGCCGGGCCGTTCCCACTCACACATGTATATATATATTTTTTTCTATCTTTTTTTTTTCTTTCCATTCTGTAACTTCAAAACTTCTCTAACTTTGGAAAGATTACACAGCACAAAAGTACAAAAGAAAACATCATAAATTTGCCACTCTGTAATTTTTCCAAAGCTGGAGACATTCTGAAAGGTTACAGGATTATAAAAAAAAAAGGGAAAAAAAAGGGGGAAAGAAGTGTGTGTGTGTGTGTGGGAAGAGTGAATAAATACCCTCCTCGGCACCCCAGGAGCCACCCCGAGGTTGGCAAAGATCCTCATTTCAGAATGCTGAAATTTTGGCTCCTAAGAAGTATCCTTCAGAAATGATGTAGTGAATAAATAAAAAAAAAAAGCCCTCTGAAAAACTAAATTTTTGCAGTTTTTGTCAACGCAAGCGGCGTTTTCCCACGAAAGGGAAGGTTTGCCGTCGGGACAGCCTGCTTTTCCTGCAGGAGAATTTTCTCCATCCAAAAACCGCCCGCGGCCACGCTGCAGGTGCTCCCAGCCGCCGCCAAGGCGCGAGGGATTTCATTTTCAAGCCAAGCGAAGAGAAGATTTAAAAAAAAAAAAAAAGAAATGATGCAAAAAATAAGGCTTCACCATCAAAGTTAAAAGCATTGATGATATAATTATGGAAGAACATCACTCTACCCACCTGACATTGTGGATCTATTAACAGGATCATATACGCAACTGACATACCACAGCAGGAACTTGAGATGAGATTTACATATACCCCAATCTTTGGGGGGGGGGGGTTGCCAGCCAGGACCCCCCGCAGACCTGCACGAATAATCCAGGATGCCCTTTTGCACCCAAAGTTGCCTGAAACGGGCCCAAACGGGATGGCGCGGGGGGGCTTATCGTGCCCCCCAATCCCCAGAACCGGGGGATTTTGCACCAGGCGGGGAATTTAATTTCGACGAAGATGCCGAGTCCCGCCGGGGACCCAAGGTCTTGCCCACACCCGGCGGCCCCCGCTGCCTGCCCAGCCCCACCTCCCCGTCTCCCCACGCTTTGGGGCTAATCAGGGCTCGTCAGAGGGCAAGAGCATCCTCGGCATCGCCACCACGCCGTGCCGGGGGGTTTGCGGCGAAGGGCAGGAGGCTGCAGCATTCGTCCCGTGCCTCGGGCGATGTTTTTTATTCCGTTGTGGGTGGGATTTTCCAGCGCTGGCTGTTGGGCCCCGTTCCGCTCCAGCTGCAGCTTTATTCTCCATTTCAAAGGCAGCGGAGGCAGACGGTTTCAACGCCACTGCCATTTCGAGCGTGCCAAAAGCGGGGGGACCACCAACCCCCCTGGGACTGGCGCGCACCCACCGGGGAGGTGAAGGGCTTTGACCGAGGCCGGCAGGGAAGGCGGTGGGGGAGCCCACGGGCACCTGGGGCCCCCACTTGTGCCCTGCCCTGCGGCGTCAGGGGGCACCCTGTGCCACCCGCGATACGTGACGGCGAGGGGGGGATAAAGCAGCAGCTCACATGTTTTTATAGCCTGGATTGAGGCTCTTTCCTCACTTCCTTATTTTGTTTTTTAAAAAAATAATAAATAATAAAAGATGGTTTTATCCATAGGCTGAAAGTCCCAATAAATTTGAGGAGGGGGCTGAGATAGGGCAAAAAAAACCCGCCAGAAAACCCCTAAAGCAAACAAAACCACCGTCCTTTTCCTCTCTTCTGCAAGCGCTTCAGCTTTTTCTTTCAAATTAATTTTATTCTTTATTTTTATATAGGCATATATATTAACAGCCTGTCTGTATAGGGATGTGTGTGTAGCTGTTGGCAGACACGCGGAGTTTCCACTCGGCCTTAATGCCAAATTAAAGCTTTATAACTTCAGTAGCTCTTTTTACCAGGGTATTAATAACCACCTCAGACACTGTGGTGCAGTTTATTAATCATTTGTTCGCCCGGGGAGCTCACGAGGGCGACTCGTGCTGCGCCGCGGCGGGACGGGCGCAGGGCACGGCCGCG